CGAATAAACTCAAGGTTGCATGGTGTGTGTGGGGGCAGATGGCAGAGTCCTGGAAGCTGGACTCTGGCTCAGAATCTTAATGAACATCTGTCTTTAACAGTTCTACTTGTGTAATATTTTAGGATCAGCCTCAGAAGGTTCTTTGCTTGAATGGGCTTCACTGACAGATCATATTGGAGAGTGCTTGGTGACATGTGAGCCCAAGACAATTCCAATGCAATTGTTAGATATTGATTCTTCCTTCCTAACACAAAGCAATCAGGGGTCACAAAAATAATCTGATCTTATGATGCTTGTGGCAAGGAAAACAAAGGAAGTTAAAATAAAATAAATACAAATAGCTTTTATATGCTTTAACATCTATGGGTCACTTTCACATCTGTTATCTCTTGTGTTATTTGAATTCTGTGGTAGCTTGACAGCTGCCATTTGGTGAAAAGCTCCACATTCCACCAAAGAGGAAATAGGTTCAGAGAGAAGAATTCAATTAGTAAAAATTGAGGATTCAAATTTGGGTCTTCTTCAAATTTCTAGCTCCTTCCTGAATATAAATCTTGGCCACTGCATTGAAAGTCATGCTGAATGTCTCTTAAATGCAGTTATTTACTTTCTTTTCAGACTAACTTCCCAGAATGAAAAGTTCTGTGAAACAAGACCTTAGCCAATTTCTCATGAAAACAAGACTAATGCTAGGTTCTAATTAAAATCATATTTCTTGTATCAAATGTCCTTTCAATAAATGTTTACAAAAGAGCTCATTTAAAATAAAAAAGTTAGTTCCCCATACCAGTAATAGTAATGATAGCAAACACTTTGAGTATTGACAGTAGTCTCAAACTCTGTAAGATCCTCACAATGCATGATTGCCTTTAATCCTGAAAACAATTCATGGTGTAGTTTTCCTTTATCTGTCCTTTTTATGGATGAAAAACAACAACAAAAAAAAAAACCCCTAAAAATCATACAGACCTTAACCAGTGTAAGAACACACAGGTTGTTTTTGGTGGATTCAGATGGGACAAAAAGAAGGAAAGGGTTGATATTTGTAGATGGTGACGAATAAACTCAAGGTTGCATGGTGTGTGTGGGGGCAGATGGCAGAGTCCTGGAAGCTGGACTCTGGCTCAGAATCTTAATGAACATCTGTCTTTAACAGTTCTACTTGTGTAATATTTTAGGATCAGCCTCAGAAGGTTCTTTGCTTGAATGGGCTTCACTGACAGATCATATTGGAGAGTGCTTGGTGACATGTGAGCCCAAGACAATTCCAATGCAATTGTTAGATATTGATTCTTCCTTCCTAACACAAAGCAATCAGGGGTCACAAAAATAATCTGATCTTATGATGCTTGTGGCAAGGAAAACAAAGGAAGTTAAAATAAAATAAATACAAATAGCTTTTATATGCTTTAACATCTATGGGTCACTTTCACATCTGTTATCTCTTGTGTTATTTGAATTCTGTGGTAGCTTGACAGCTGCCATTTGGTGAAAAGCTCCACATTCCACCAAAGAGGAAATAGGTTCAGAGAGAAGAATTCAATTAGTAAAAATTGAGGATTCAAATTTGGGTCTTCTTCAAATTTCTAGCTCCTTCCTGAATATAAATCTTGGCCACTGCATTGAAAGTCATGCTGAATGTCTCTTAAATGCAGTTATTTACTTTCTTTTCAGACTAACTTCCCAGAATGAAAAGTTCTGTGAAACAAGACCTTAGCCAATTTCTCATGAAAACAAGACTAATGCTAGGTTCTAATTAAAATCATATTTCTTGTATCAAATGTCCTTTCAATAAATGTTTACAAAAGAGCTCATTTAAAATAAAAAAGTTAGTTCCCCCCAAAGTAATATGTGTCCTTCTAGGAACAAATTAATAGAAGCAAACAGTAGTGTTCTTGGAAATTCCTTGGATAAATAATTTTGTACACACTCTTCCCTTTAGCCCTGCCTTATCTGGGCCTACACCCTTGCTCCTCTCTTGAATCAACTCAGCCAAAGTCCTCTTATTCTCTGCATTCAGGTTGCCTTTCCTTCCCTCCACGCCACCTCCCACACCCTACGGCTCTTTCTTTACATGTAATTTCTTAGCCCTTGCTATCCACCCCCTTAGAGATGAAAACCCCACAGGGCCGAGTCCTGATTTTTCGTCACTGTCACTGTGTCCTCAGCATGCTGCCTGGCTCATAGTAGTTGCACAATAAATTTTTGTTGGGTGAATCAATGCATGGGTCACTAGTCATTTGACACAGCCCGGCTAGCATTGTTAATGTGATTCTCTCTTTCTTTGTCTCTTCTATCTATATCCCTAATACCAATCCTGGCACACGAAATGGGAGCTTTGTAAATGTTTGTCAAGTGAATCAAGGAATGAAAGAAACATTGAAATATTGTTTTATAAAAGCTACTTTCAATAGAAAGAGAATTTATCCATCTTGTGAAATAATATCATATCTCTCCTGTGTCTTGAAAAGAGTGGAGATTGGAGGTTGGGTGGTGGCAGGCAACTCACTTCAGTATTCTTGCCTGGAGAATCTTATGGACAGAGCAGCCTGGTGGGCTACAGTCCATGGGGTTGCAAAGAGTCAGATATAACTGAAGTGACTTAGCATGCACAAATAGGTATGTGAGTGCATGTTTATGGTGCATCTGCAAGATCACAGATTCCTAATGCTTCTGGTTGATGGAGACCTTAACAATCAAGTGGCAGTCATGATAATACTGATGTTTAACAGTTACTGGATACTTTAGTCCAGGCTCTGTGCCAAGACTTTTTTTGGTATTAACTTACTTAGAAAAGGCAGAGGAACCAGAGATCAAATTGCCAACATCTGCTGGATCATTGAAAAAGCAAGAGAGTTCCAGAAAAACATCTATTTCTGCTTTATCGACTGTGCCAAAGCCTTTGACTGTGTGGATCACAATAAACTGTAGAAAATTCTGAAAGAGATGGGAATACCAGACCACCTGACCTGCCTCTTGAGAAACCTGTATGCAGGTCAGGAAGCAACAGTTAGAACTGGACATGGAATAAGAGACTGGTTCCAAATAGGAAAAGGAATACGTCAAGGCTGAATATTGTCACCCTGCTTATTTAACTTACATGCAGAGTACATCATGAGAAACACTAGGCTGGAGGAAGCACAAGCTGGAACCAAGATTGCCAGCAGAAATATCAATAACCTCAGATATGCAGATGACACCACCCTTATGGCAGAAAGTGAAGAAGAACTAAAGAGCCTCTTGATGAAAGTGAAAAAGGAGAGTGAAAAAGTTGACTTAAAGNGAAAAGACCCTGATGCTGGGAAGGATTGAGGGCAGGAGGAGAAGGGGATGACAGAGGATGAGGTGGTTGTATGGCATCAGCAACTCAATGGACATGGGTTTGGGTGAACTCCGGGAGTTGGTGATGGACAGGGAGGCCTGGAGTGCTGCAGTTAATGGGGTCACAAAAAGTCAGACATGACTGAGTGACTGAACTGAACTGAAGTGAACTAAATTCTTATAACCTATGCTGTAGGGGTATTTATTATTCCCATTCAACAGTTGAGGAAACTGAGGTACAAACAGCTGCATCAATAGGACTCTCTGAAGCCTTCTGGGTATATACATGGGTGCTTCTAGGCTGCTCTGGGAATGAGGGAAGGTGCAAGACCATGTGAAGGCAAGGAAGGTCATCAGGCAAGAGCCCGCCCTCCCCTCCTGTATCCAGAGCTGTTGTTCTGTTAAATGTTTTACATATCAGGCTTCTGCAAAAATATTTCTTAGAGAAACAAGCTTTTATATATCTAGGAAAAAAAAGATATTTTAGTTTTACAGATAGAATACAAAGATTTTAGGGACGTTAAATCCCTTGGCATTTGTCATCAGTGGCTAAGCCTGGTCTAAAAATCTCAACTCCAAACAGTCTAGAATCTAATTCCTAGGCCAAGTTACTTGGGTGGCTGGGTGTTTCCATAATGGCTCTTAAATTTGGTATAACTCATTGACCACGACTTCTTTGTCCAAACTTTCCAGATGTATGTTCTGAGCAATACTGAGTAAAATAAGGTCAGTTACAAGGTAAATTTAGAAGTATTTGTCTTGAAGAGTTGTTAGAGGAAAACAGGTAGGATGAGGCAAAACTAGACAAGGCAGGAAGTAGAAAGAGTACTCAGGACATTTGGAGAAGACCAGTGTGTGTGTGTGGGTGTGCGTAGGTGTCTGTGGGTGGGTGGAGCACTGTGTATACCAGAGTATGCAGGCTTTTGACCCTGGAATAAAAATGGCAACAGCAATAACAATAGCAACAATGCTATATTTTGAATGGCTAACATGTGACATGTTCACAAGCTCAATGCTTTACATGCAGCATCATTTTTAATATTGAGGTCAATCAGGTCTTCTCATTTCCTTGAAGAGGAAACAGAAACTTATAGAGCTGGCAAGTGGCAGAGAGGAAACAAGTGTCTGTTAGGCATCAAAGTGCATGCTCTGAATCCTTCAGCTACACTGTGACTTCAGAGTCCCCAGAATCACTGGGACTCAGGCATTTCTGTACCCACTGGCAGCTCTTGGGGCTGGGTCTGCCTCAGAGTAAGGGCCCTGACCTTGACTCAGGGACACTATAAGAAGCTTGAATTAGATCTCCCTTTACAGCAAGCTAAGCCAGTCCAGGGTGATTCAACCACCTGATACTTGGGTGCCTGAGATTCTTTGACCTGGGGACCAAGTCTTCCATTCCCCAGTTAGAGATAAAATACTGAGATTCTTGGTGGCTGCCTTTTAGTCAATGAGCAAGTCAGAAAAAAATGGCCAAAAGTAATCCCTGAATTTTTATAGCCTTTTAAGATTTTCAAAGCATTTCCCCTCTGTGTGTTTTAAAGGTCGTTAGAACCTTGTGTCAACTCCTATTTGACAGATCAGATCAGAATGAAGGAAAAATTTGTGGAGAGTTACACACATCTCAGAAGTGGTTGACCAAGAACTCAATCGCTTGTCTTTTCAGGTCACTTCCTCTTTGCCAGGAACTAGAATGGAGAAGGTCCTAGAAGGAGTGAGAAGTCTTAAGTTCGGGAGAGAAGCTCTGCTGAGGGGCCCAGTGTGGAAAAAACCAAGTAAGTGACTCTTCAGAGGGTACAGCGCTGGCTGGCCCTGCTTCCTTTTAGCTGGGTGGGGGCCCAGAAGAGCTGTGCCCGGAGGTATTTTTGTCTTGTTGCTTCAGCTCAGAAAGCTCCACTTGGAATGATTTATGATGATTTCTTGGGTTTGTTTTGTAAACACAGCCCATACCACAGGAGGGAGTTACATTCCCAGGGTCTTCCTTCACGAGTGGTATTGCTCTAAAATTATTTTGCTTTGGGCTGATGTTCTCAAGTTTTTGAATCTAGAACATAAGGATGGTGAGAAGCCTCAGAGTTTATCCAGCCCATCTGTCTTACTTTATTGTTGGTGAAACTGAGGCCTAGAGATGGGGAGGGAGTTTCCTGAAGCATACAGCCAGCTACAGGCAACAGCTGGCTAGAACATTTGCATACCTTTAGATGTTTCTTCCATGATTACTGTTGCTCTGGGGGAGAAATGTGAGCACAACGGATACAGTCTACTGCTTCATGGAGCTCAGACTTTATAGGGGATATCGACTAAACAGGTCATTAAAAACCACTTTCATATATCACTTCACACTTGTCAGAATGGCTGTTATCAAAAAGACAAGAAATAAATGTTGGAGAGGGTATGGAGAAAACGGAATCCTTGTACACTGTTGGTACAGTGTAAATTGGTACAACCACTATGGAAAACAGTATGGAGATTCCTCAAAAAATTTAAACTATAACTACTCTGTGACTTAGAAAGTTTATTTCTGGGTATTGTCTGAATACCCAGAAACTATAAAAGATATGTGCACTCAGTGTTCATTGCAACATTATCTACAATAGGCAACATATGGAAGCAACCTAAGTGTCCCTCAATAGATGAATGGATAAAGAAGATGTGGGACATATAACTAGTGGAATATTACTTAATCATAAAGAAGAATGAAATCCTGCTATTATAATAAAATTAAAGGACCTAGAGAGTATTATGTAGAAATAAGTCACAGAAAGACAAATACCATATGATTTCCCTTATATGTGAAATTAAAAAAAAAAGGAATTGAACAAACATAAAAACACAGAAACAGACTTCCAGATACAGAAAACAGACGGTGGTTGCCAAAGTAGAAGAAATAGGGGGATGGGTGAAACAGATTGTGAAGGGAATTAAAAAGTACAAACTTCTAGTTATAAAAGGGAATGCAACCAATAATATTATAATAACTTTCTATGGTGACAGATGGTAACTAGACTTGTTATGGTGATCATTTCATAATGTATAAAGATACTGAATCACTATGTTGTACCCCTGGAACTGATATAATCTTTTTAGCTAATTATACTACACACACACACACACACACACACACACACACACACACAAGATAATTAAAAGTGTTACAGGAAAGGAGTACAGGTACTCTGAGGCCTTATAACAAGAGGGCCTAACCTGGCCTAGGGTTGAGTGATGGTTGCCTTGAAGGAATGAGATTTAGAAGGAGGAGGAAGAGTTGGTCCATGGGACAGTAGGAGAGAATTCGTTCTGGGAAGAGGGAACAGCACGAACTCTAGGCAGGTGGAAGCATGAATCAGAGGCTCTGAAAACTGGCTAGTGCCTGAGCCAGGGGCCACAAAGCAAGGTTAGGAACAGGGGCAGGGGAATCTAGCGGGTCTTATGGGATTCCTCAAAAAATTTAAACTATAACTACTCTGTGACTTAGAAAGTTTATTTCTGGGTATTGTCTGAATACCCAGAAACTATAAAAGATATGTGCACTCAGTGTTCATTGCAACATTATCTACAATAGGCAACATATGGAAGCAACCTAAGTGTCCCTCAATAGATGAATGGATAAAGAAGATGTGGGACATATAACTAGTGGAATATTACTTAATCATAAAGAAGAATGAAATCCTGCTATTATGATAAAATTAAAGGACCTAGAGAGTATTATGTAGAAATAAGTCACAGAAAGACAAATACCATATGATTTCCCTTATATGTGAAATTAAAAAAAAAAGGAATTGAACAAACATAAAAACACAGAAACAGACTTCCAGATACAGAAAACAGACGGTGGTTGCCAAAGTAGAAGAAATAGGGGGATGGGTGAAACAGATTGTGAAGGGAATTAAAAAGTACAAACTTCTAGTTATAAAAGGGAATGCAACCAATAATATTATAATAACTTTCTATGGTGACAGATGGTAACTAGACTTGTTATGGTGATCATTTCATAATGTATAAAGATACTGAATCACTATGTTGTACCCCTGGAACTGATATAATCTTTTTAGCTAATTATACTACACACACACACACACACACACACACACACACACACACAAGATAATTAAAAGTGTTACAGGAAAGGAGTACAGGTACTCTGAGGCCTTATAACAAGAGGGCCTAACCTGGCCTAGGGTTGAGTGATGGTTGCCTTGAAGGAATGAGATTTAAAAGGAGGAGGAAGAGTTGGTCTATGGGACAGTAGGAGAGAATTCGTTCTGGGAAGAGGGAACAGCACGAACTCTAGGCAGGTGGAAGCATGAATCAGAGGCTCTGAAAACTGGCTAGTGCCTGAGCCAGGGGCCACAAAGCAAGGTTAGGAACAGGGGCAGGGGAATCTAGCGGGTCTTATGGGAATTTAATTTGTACTCTAAACACAGTGGAGAGCCACAGGAGTTTCAAGCAAAGGGGCAGGAAAGTGATGAGGTTTGGCTTGATTTTCCAGTCAGGCTGCATTGAGAGGAATGGGCTGTATAACAGTGGCTGATACAGAGACTGGCTCCTTCCCCTTTGCACAGTGGCTCTCAAGCCTTAGAACTCCCCATCAGCTTATGCTCTGCTAGGAGAGCGGACTTCAGTTGTGTGGTTGGTTTTTTTTTTTTTTTTTTTTTTTTAGGGCAGGTGTTAAGCACAAAACTGGGCACAGGACACATTCCTTGTAAAACCTTTGTGGCCTGAGTTGGGGCAACAGCCAGATAATGGGGTTTTTGCTGGCATTTGAGGGACACAGTAGAAGCTGACAGGGCCTGGAGGAAATGCCTGGGGTGGAGGAGGTGATGCCAAGGGGCCAGGGTGCAAGCTGATGGACCTTGATGGCAGGCCTGGCCTCAGCCTCTTGACTTGGATGGAACCCAAGCCATTCTTGCCAACTTGCAGCTAGAGAAGGAAATGCATGTCTTCAAGGGTCTGTGAATGCAGGGAGCTCCAGAGCTATGGAAACAGCCCCACAACAGCCTCCGCATGCCAGGCAGGGCCATCAGAATCTGGAATCTTCTACCTCTGATTTCCAGTTTAGAAAAACCTGGATATGATGGATCTAGAAAGCAACCTTCTCTCACACAGGTCTCAAAGCTCCCTCTTACAGAGAGTTTTATAGTTCAAAAGCTAATTTCAATATTCTTTCCTTTTCCTGTCTCTCTGTTGTTCTGCTTCTCCATCTTTCTTTCATTTTTGTCTTAGGAGGCTATTAGGTGGTTAAAAGCAACAGGCTTTAGAGATCAGCAGGTCTGGGTTTGAATTGTGGCTTTTTCACTTGCTGGGTGAGTCACTTTGGGTACGTTTCTTAACCTCTTGGATTCTCAGTTTCCTCATTAGCCAATGGGTATATTGCTTTATTAAAATGGGATTGCAAGTTTGAATCAGGTAATATGCATAATATACATAAGAACTCAGCACATGGTAGGTACATAATAATCTGCTATTGCTAGTCATTTGTTCGGTGTTTATCTGGTAGTTACTGTGGGCCAGACCCTGGGCTAGGCACCAGGATCATAATGCTGATCCCTAAAATGCCCCTTTTAAGTGTCGGGCAGAGATCAGTGTTCCCAAAGCCCAGTGGCAGCATGTGAAGAAAATGAACTCCCTAGGCAGGATCTGGAAAATGGCCCCAGATCTAGAAATGGATCTAGTTGCTGTCTGAATGACGCTGTCAAGGACCTAGGCTCTCACTTTTTACCATATTTTCCATTTGTAGTTTCCTTGTTCCGTTTTGTTCAAATTAAAATTCACATTGTGTCTACTACCACGTGGCAGGCCCTGAGCTAGGTACTGCAAAGGACTCCAAGGTGAGTAAGCTGTGGCCTCAGTCAGTCTGATAGTGCTCACAGGATGGCAACTGGGATGGTCATGGCACTAGAATTGCCCCGTGAGGAATGTCTGCAGGGACCAGTCTCTTTAGCTTGATGGTGAAGGACTCAGTGAACCTTCTAATTTCTGAAGGCTATCATAGGAAAGGGGGGTGGGTCATATGTTATTTTGGAGTCCCTCAGAGGCAGAACCAGGGCCCATGGCAGAAATCACCATAAGACATATTTTGTCTCATTAGAAGGCATGGATCTTTCTAATATCTTTGGGTGTCTAGCAATTGGAAAAGACAGTCTGGTAAGCAGAGCAAGCTCCATCTCTAGGAATGCTTGTCATAAACACCCACCAGGTTGTTGTAAACGGAACGCCTGATTTGGGCAGGAGCTTTGGTAAGGTGACCTCAAAGTTGCCTAGCAGCTCTTCTCGAGGCGAGGATTCTAAGTTTCCATTGTCTAACTCACACTACCTTCCCCTGGATGCCTGCCAGCTTCCTCCCTCTGGGGCTCACCCTGCAGCTTACCTCACTCCTTCCTGAACCTAGCTCCGGAACCTTGCCATGGCAACTTATCAACGTGGGTCCAACGTGTCAGGCCACTGGGGCATATGTGAAATAGATTTCAGTCTGTGTTTTGGCTGGAAATTTTAGTTTTGTTATCATATCAGTCCCTTTTAGAAATCTTCCCCCTTTAGGTATTTGGGTTTTATTTCCTAGATTTATATTTTACACACATTTCCTATAGAAAGATACACCAGCATCTGTTACTACATTTTTAAGCTTGATATTTTGGAAGAATCAACATCATAGTCACTCTAGAGTCAAGATGCTGAATTCAAATCTTATCTCTACTACTTACTATCAGTGTTGTCCTGGCCAAGCTTTTTAATGTCTGTAAGAGATTAATATCTTAATATCTGTAAAACAAGGTAA